ACCTGAATTGTTATTAATAAAAAAAAAAAAAAGTATTGAATCCACGATTCAATACTTTTTTTTCGCAATGATTCAATCATTTCAAAGTTCACTTTTGCTCATGTGTTTCTTTCATATTTTGCCCTGAGAATAGCGCATGTCAATTGTTAAAAAATAAATATGTATGCCCAGGGTGGCGCGTAGATCTTTTTTGCCTCTCTAATCAGTCTGCTACCACGCTGTGTGTTTCTAAACTCAGGGTGAAATTGCGTTGACTGAGAACCATTATGCACAGAAAAAACGACACCGAAGCGAAAGATGTTAACAAATATTCAATTTAATTTAAACTATTAATTTTATATAAACATACAAATTAAATATAGAGAGGTAAAAACTAGATAACCTTACAGCACAGCAAATTAAACAAGTAGAATACTAGAATTTTAATCCACACTCTCACAAGGAAAAATCTAATAAGTCTTGTAGGGCTCCTGTAAGTTTGATAAGTCTCGTAATCTGTCTCGTGTCAAGGAAAACTCGCAAATCTGGTCCATGCTGGGAAAGCTGTCAACTTATTAAAAGGCGGGTTGGGGGGAGGGGGGGGAATTAGAGCCCTCCAGAAAATAATTTTTTGAAAATTGCATCCCCCACGCTTATTCACTCTACCTTTCGTTTTGAAACAAATTTGAACGTAAACAAACTTTTTCCAATCAAGGGAGGGGTGGGTAGTGTTAGAGCGCTACACAATTAATCTGTGATGTCAGCATCAAAACAAAAATGGGGGAGATAAGTGCTGAACGTTACAGCTCTACGTTGAAGCAAAATTAGGTCAACACACGTGCTATAACAACTGCTTTACATATGTTCGTCTCTTCTTATGAACAGTACATTCATTTCCATTCAGTTCATGCACGTCTGCCACCGAACTAACGACTCTCATGCGTTTCTTCCCCCGTTCTTTTCCTTTTGTTATATTGTCTCTTCTTTGATGAGCGGAGTCAACCACTTCACACTCTTTTACTAAGTCTTGTAATGGGACCTTTTGGTGTCTTAGGTTTGCCTGACTGGTTGAAGGGGTTGTCCGTGTGCTGTTGTCGCCGCCCATTTGTTTTATCTGACTGGTTGAAGGGGTTGTCCGTGTGCTGTTGTCGCCGCCCATTTGTTTTATCTGACTGGTTGAAGGGGTTGTCCGTGTGCTGTTGTCGCCGCCCATTTGTTTTATCTGACTGGTTGAAGGGGTTGTCCGTGTGCTGTTGTCGCCGCCCATTTGTTTTATCTGACTGGTTGAAGGGGTTGTCCGTGTGCTGTTGTCGCCGCCCATTTGTTTTATCTGACTGGTTGAAGGGGTTGTCGGCCTGCTGTTGTCGCCGCTCATTTGTTTTATCTGACGGGTTGAAGGGGTTGTCCGTCTTTTGTTGTCGCCGTCCATCTTCCCCTTCTCTTTCGTGTAAGCTACTGTTGGTGGTTTCATCGTGTCCTTCCGTCCACATGACCAGTGAATATTTCGCGTGTGGTAAAGAACGTGACCTGTTATGACCTGACAGTCAGAAGCTACAGTCTCTGCGTGCTGTATGTTGTAAACATGGGTAATAACTGGCGTGAGTTCGCGTGACGAAAGGGAACTGACGGAGGGGAGACAAAAAGAGAAAAACTATTGTTACAGGTCAAGGGGTAATAAGGGGAGAGACTGCAATCAGGTTAGTACAAAATAAAATGAGTAAAACAGAGTATGGTTAAACCTGAAAAATTAAACGTAACAAAACAGCGAACGTGTCGGCAGAAAGCCTTCGTCAGCGAACAAAACAACAGAAAAAACGTTATAAAAATAAGAAATAGCACTTAGCTGGTAAGTAGTATCTAAACAAAACAGCGAACGTGTCGGCAGAAAGCCTTCGTCAGCGAACAAAACAACAGAAAAAACGTTATAAAAATAAGAAATAGCACTTAGCTGGTAAGTAGTATCTGTGGGCAGCAATAGAAGTGTGCCCACAGATACTACTTACCAGCTAAGTGCTATTTCTTATTTTTATAACGTTTTTTCTGTTGTTTTGTTCGCTGACGAAGGCTTTCTGCCGACACGTTCGCTGTTTTGTTACGTTTAATTTGTCAGGTTTAACCATACTCTGTTTTACTCATTTTATTTTGTTACAGGTCAAGCTCAATATGCAACGACACATGATGTACATAGTTTACTGACTCAAATTTCGATAGTACTCATTAGATAGGCTTTTTTTTTATTCTTTAATTCAACACACTCAATCCATCGGTCGATATCACCATTAAGTTCAACAATTTCTCTGACCTATTATGGTTTACTAGATAGAGCCCACCAAACATTGGCGGCGTGAACTTCCCATCTAGTAAAGTTACTTGACAAAACATGAACTCAAGTAACGCACATTTGAAAATTCCAATATTTGCTACACCCCTTCCCCCATGACACGTCACTGCACACTTTTTATTTCACTCTCATGAACTATATTAATATTCTCATGTCCCAACCACTTTTAAACCGAATATTTTGTACACAATTCTTAAATTGAGACGATTTCATTTCCGAAAAGAAAATATTACGCACCAAAGTCAATTGCGTTATTATATATATATATATATATATGTCATTTAGCGTAGTTATCGGGAATTATATTTTGCGTGCTAGTGAACTCATTATTTAACTACACTCTGGAGTATCTATATACAGCCTGCGTAGTGGTGTTTGACCTTTTTTGGGGAATTATATATATAGATGAATGACGCGAGATGTATACCTTCACTTCTTTAATTTTCCTAGCTCCAAGTTCCCTATTATTTACCCAGCCCCGCCCTTCCTACCTCCATGTTCTACAATTCTTCAACCACCCCCCACACTTTTCTTACCCCTATCTTCCCAATTCTCTACCCAGCCCTACACCCGTCTTTGCTACATCCATGTTCTCCCATTCTCCACCCAACCCCACCTTTACTACTCTGACTATCTCCATGTTTCCTATTCTCCTCCAACCATACCTTGAAAAAAAAAGTAAATTTAATAATTACATTAGCCTAATGATACAATTTTAATAATAATAATAAACAACTACTTCAACTTACTTAGAAACGTGCTCCGAATTATTATAACTCATCCATTCCTTTTCGTTCTGTTCCGTTTTGAGAGTATCGGTTCTGGCACTGTTCCTCTGTGCTGGGTGCTTCCCACCGCTGGGTTGAACATTGAATAGCACCTTGGTGATCAGATTCCAAAACCTTTGAATGTATTTACAGTACGTTGGGTTTATTAACAAAACATGTAAAGTTTCTGCTTTCTTCTGTAACCCATCGGTCCCGCGGACTTCGTGCAGGAATCCCGCGCTAATCCGCTCTATCTCAGTCGCTGAGAAATTGCTATAGTTTCCGCCTGCTTTGATCAACAGTTCAGCGATGTTAAAATGTTGGCCGTTTGTTGCAAAAGACAGGGCACAGCACAGGCTCTTACTGGCTTCATTTCCCGTTTCTTCCATGCTCATTAATAGCCGAACGATGTGTGTGTGCCCATATTTGGCAGCTATGACGAGAGGCGTTAATCCATACCTGTTCTCTTCATTTATATCGACCCCTTTGTAATCAGAGCCTTGACGACTCGAGTGTGTCCATGTCGAGCAGCTATCATAAGAGCCGTCATGTCAGCGCTATTCTTTAGCTTCAGATCAGATTTCTTCTCGATTAAAAACTCAACGATATCGCAGTGTCCATTTTGTGACGCTTTCATAAGTGCCGTCCAGCCGTTACTGTCTTGCACGTTAGCATCCACGCTTTCCTCCAACAGCAAAGACAGCATTTCCTTTGAACCATTTTCTGCCGCTATCATAAGACACGTCGAGCCACAGAAATTCTTTTCATTAACCTTTGTACCCTTTTCAATGAGTATCTCAGCACATTCAGTCTTCTCATTCAACACGGCGATCATGAGGCATGTCCAGCCATGAGTTATTTTACTGTTGACCTCGGCTCCAGTTTCTATGAGCTTCTCAATAATATTGTCAAATCCGTTTTGGGGGGCTATGGACAGCGCGGTCCATCCCATGTTATTGGTTTCGTTGAGGTCTGCTTTATGTCGAATGAGAAGTTCAATACACTTCAGGTCTCCACATTTTGCTGCCAGCATCAAGGTAGTCCACCCATCCCTGTCTTTCCTATTGACATCTGCCCCGTTCTCCAACAAGACCGAAACATTTTCCGTCACTTTGATTCGCACAGATTCCACCAGACAATTCAATTCTTTCTCCGATAAACCACTTAATATTACCTTATCTTTTAGATACATTTGAATAATATCTATGTTTCCACTTAAGACAGCGAACATCAGTGCTGTAAAGCCATCATTGGATGCGCCATTAACCTTGGGGTCCATGGCAACAAGCGATAAAATTGTTCTCTTCATTCTTAGAACTACGCTATTTATCAGGTCGTCGTATGTGTCTACATTATCTCGACCTTGTTGTATCAACTGTGCAAGTACGTGGCCGTCCCAGTATAATGATGCTAACATGATTGGCGTCAGGCCGTAGTTATCCACATCACAACTGTGTTGACGTTTGCGTGTGCCCACGAGAAGCCCATTTATTTCGAAATGCCACATTTGTGAAGCCAATAAGAGGGCCGTGGCGCCACCATCTTGGCTGACGTCAATGTTTCCGCCATTTTCCACCAGAAATTCAACAATGTCTCTGTGACCATTCACAGACGCAATGATGAGAGAAGTTTGACCGAAGTTGCTTTGACTATTTATAGCTGCCTGGTGATCAACAAGCATCCTTACTGAGTCCGTGTGACCATTTCCGGCGGCAATCATAAGTGACGTCAGGCCCCCGATTTCTTTGCCGACAACATTTGCCCCACACCTAATTAGGAGCTCTATAATGTCTGTGTGACCTTTCTGAGTTGCAAACATGAGAGAAGTCCGACCAGTGGTGTTTGTTGCATTTACATCTGCCCCACGTTTGATAATGAGTTCTGCAACCTCTTTACAGCCTATATTTGAAGCAATCATCAAAGACGTCCAACCATTTTTGTCTTTACTATTTACATTTGCTTTATATTTCATAAGTAGTTCTACCATTTCCTTGTCACCATTTTGGGCCGCAATCATGAGAGCCGTCCAGCCATTTATTTCTTCATTATTTATATCAACTTTATATTCAGCTAGTCGCTCTATAATTTCTCGATGACCGTTTTGCGTTGCAATCATCAAAGCGGTCCAGCCATTGTTTTCTCTGTCATTTACGCCTGCACCATTTCTAAGCAGAACTTCCACCGTTTCCGTCTTGCAGTTTTGTGACGCAATCATCAGTGAAGTCCAACCCTCATTTGTTTTTTCGTGAACCGCAGCACGGCATTCTTCAAGTAACAGTTTGACACAATCTGTGTGGCCGGCATGGGACGCAATCATCAAAGATGTCCATCCCTTGTTTTCTCTTGTATTCAAATTCGCCCCGCGTTTGAATAGCATTGTTACAATTTCTCTAAGTCCGTGATGGGACGCAATCATCAGAGCAGTGAAACCTTCGTTATCCTCATTATCAACATTTGCCTTTTATTCAATTAAGAGTTCTACAATTTCTATATGACCTCTATTTGATGCGATCATCACGGCGGTCCAGCCTTCATTTTCTTTATCGTTCACATTTGCACCGTGTTTTAATAGCAGTTCTACAGTATCTTTGTGACCATTTTGAGATGCAATCATCAGAGCGGTCCAACCTTCATTTTCTTTATCATTAGCATTTGCACCGTGTTTTAATAGCAGTTCTACAGTATCTTTGTGACCATTTTGAGATGCAATCATCAGAGCGGTCCAACCTTCATTCTCTCTATCATTAACACTTGCATCGCAATCAATTAGGAGTTCTATAATATCTTTCTGGTCATTTTTTGAGGCTGTTATCAAATCAACGCACCACTGCGTTTCTTTGAGCTGTGTTGCAGCGTAACACTCAGACATCATGCTTACAACTTTTCTAGGTCCATTCATCGATGCAAACATCAGAGCTGTCCAGCCATTGCTGTCTCTGTCATTTATATTAGATGCCAGCAATTTCGCTGCGCACGCATGATCTTTGCTTGGTTCCATCATCAGAGCTGTCAAAAGCTTCGTATTCATTTCATTGTTCTTGACGCAACCTTTTAATTTCAAATCTGCAGTCACTTTACGACCTTTCAGAGACGTAGTCATAACATCATTGTAGTGACTGTTATTTGATCTTGTTATTTTATGTGGTTTATCTCTATACGACTCGAGCTTTGAATGGGAAAATCCGTAAATGGGTTCCTCATTGTAGCGGTTACCTTCGTTCGATCTATGCAATGTCGCGTCTATATTTAGTGGTAACACCTTGATACCTCCAATAACTTCACAGCGACATTTCGAGGACATTTTTCAGTCACTGTATTTCAGCCTTCAAATGCTAAGTGAGTAGTTGAACACTGTAAGCCTCGTTAAAAACGAGAATTCTTTAATAGACACCTTCTATGTCGCAAGGTAAACATTTTGCTAATAATTACAGAACTAATTTTGAAAGCGTTAGATGAAGCTCCATTGTGGTGCTTCATTCTCCAATTTTCATTACTGGTCTTTAATTTTCTGAAGCGAAATTGGGGACATAAATTTTAATTAGGATTTAAATTGCATAATAGCTGTTTATGAACTAGTCCAATCTAGCATTTATAGTGATTGGACGTAAGGGGCGGTGCTAGGCTTATTGTGGAACACTGGAAGAAAAGGGCGTTGCTAGGCCTATGTGGAACACAGGGCGTGAAGGGCGTTGCTAGGCTCATTATTGAACACTGGAAGTAAAGGGCATTGCTAGACTCCTTGTTGAACACTGGAGGTAAATAATTTGTATATCTTTTAGGGCTGATTTAATACCCATATTTATACTGCTATACGTTTTGTTTTATGTCAATGAACTGTAAAAGAAATATATTGTGAACATATCGACACTTGTTCTAGAACGACTAAAAAATTAACTATTTAATGGACTAACCTTTAGAGAAAGGCAAAACGTCATTGACCTGTTCCTGACGTACGACTTACATGACCTATTCCTGCCGTACGACAAACATTCCTCATCTACCAAAAAAAAAAAGGAACTAAACTACAAAAGGTAAAAACCCAGGATGCTATTTTTGGTAACAATCAGCAGACTTTTGTGAACCATGACCTCCTTTGGGAAGTTCCAAGATCATTTCCTTAAAACATCCTGTTGGGGGCCATAAATATAGTTAGTATGTACGCCATGAAAAAAAAATTGGGGGGGGGGGGTGGTGTCCATGTTAAAGATATTGCGTACGCGTGCGTACGGCTGGGGGAGGGGGGAAGCACCTTGGCAGAAAGCACGTATATTTATTTACATTAAAAAAATAGTTCGGCAATGATTATCTTGAAATTCTATAAATAGATATAACGCAATTTCTCGTGATTGTCATCATACTATTGCTTTGTGTTTTCACAAGTGAACACTATTAGTACGGAATTACTTGGCTACCATTGACGCCTGAAGCCAGCATAAACGACAGCGTCCGGCGTTTCGGGGAAGTGAATGTCTGGTGATGAAGTGTGATGAACGTGTGGTGCATTTATCTAATTTGTGTCACAAAATGGTGACGGGAAAAAGAGAGAAAAAAAATGGGGTGGGGGGGGGTGTTGCAGTAGAACGAAAATCTCTGTCGGTATTAGAAACTGAAACTAAGCCGAAAGTTTTAAACAATGATTTCGGCCAAAATCGAAGCCGAAACCAAAATCTTGACGAGACTTTTGGCCAAAATTGAAGCCGAAACGTTAAGGTTAACGAGACTTTCAGCCGAAACCGAAATATTTAGATATTTTGAAATTTTTTCACGCATACATTCTGCATACATAGAAAAATGATGGAGGATAGGGATAAATATTTACATTCATTTTATGAAATATGAGATCATCGTAAATATTAATAAATAAACATCTAATGAATACTTTGCCTTTTACCATTTTAATTTTGCGCAAAAGGGGGGAGGTGGGCAATATTCATGATAAATAGACTATTGAGTGCCCTTTGTTTTATAATGTAATTACAACCTAAAACTTATACAGTAGAACCTGGTTAGCTCGACTTCGGTTAACTCACTAACCCTGTTAAGTCGACGTTGTTGAAGTGGAACCGCAAATTCTCTTTGTCTTAGTATTTTCTCCTCGTTTATGTCGATTCTTTTATGTCGAAAAAACCCAGATATCTC